TATTCTATTAATTACACATGAATCTTCTGCATTTACTAATCACAACACACTTAATATAACTTCTTTCTTAATCCTACACGGTAAACTCAGAGATTCTCACATCTCTCAGACTTCCACAATCTCACGCAGAAACACAAGGATGAGCAGCGTAGTCAAAAACACTCGTGGAATCTGGGTGAAAAATTCAGGTATGAAAATAATTTCATTACCCAAACTACACTTTCTATTTCATCATGTTGATTAAATTTAAACACGATTAACCGTTAGCAAAATAACATCTAAGTAATCTCAGTTTTATCACTCTGCATCACAATTCCCATAAAAAGGCTGGATGCTAAGTCCTTTTATTCCACTTTTAGACAGAGATGAACCGAGGGATCTCATTCTCTTTGGCACTTTGAATATGGAAGGAAAATCATTTGTTTTAGTTCTATAATCACATCACAAACTGCAGATATTTTTATGTGGCCCCACAAATGTATGTTTTCATATGCTGTCCCTTTTTGTGTTTTACAATCTAAATACATTAACATAAAACGAATAGCGCAGGGAGGATAAGAAGGCATGTTTGTGTGAACCACAATTATTTTATGTAGCGATACAACATTTGAGCATGTTAAATACACCATTCTAAAAACACTGATTAAGCAACAACTTTCAGCCAAGATTTATAAATTATTTTTCCTTTTAACTGTCAGTGAATCTACTACCTATACACCATAATTCAGCAAGTCAAACGTAACAGTTGCATTTATCTATTGTGGGATGGTTGTGGCTGGGCTGATGAGTGTGACAGAAAAAAGTGTCAATTTCTATTTTTATTAATACTTTTGAGGATTAAAGATGGTATTAATAATTATTTTTTTAAAAGTGTTCATCACCCAACATCGTTTCACTCCTCTGTTAATAAGTAACGCAAAAAAGTAATGCAAAACACTTGCTCTGAGGCAGGTTGTTACCTGCCTGCCAGCCACTCCCTTCTGCACAAACACTTCTTGCTTTTCTCAGTTCTCCGTTCTGCTTTTCCTGCTCCCGCGTTACTCATGTTGGATTAACCTTTCTATTATATGTATAGATGCAGTTGCACCTGTGCAGTCTGAGCCACACATTTCCAGTTTGTTTTTAACTGTATCTGTTTGTGGACTTTGCTCTTTGCTGGATTTCTTTCTTCTTGCTCGTTTCCTGTTTGTGTCTCACTGCTTCCCTCACATCTCCCTCAGCAGCCTTTTCCTGCATTACTTCTAACAAAAGGTGAGCAGTTTGAACTTTTAATCTGAATTTAACATCAGTGTCTCTGATTATATGTGGATTAAAGGAGAAGTTGATCACAAATGTCTAACCTGTAAAGCCGTACTGTCTGGTTAAATATTGCATTTTATCTTACAGTTTCATTTCTTGGTCATGGATGATTTCGTAAGAACCAAACTGGTTGAATGGGGGCTAAGTGAGTGGGTGGA